AGGATGCCACCGTCCTGTGTCCCCCCACCACCCTACCCCCCCCCCCTCCACCATCAAAAAACTCCCATCTCAACAAGTAGCGTAACATAAAAAGGAAGGACCTGGAGGAACAGCTCAGTATCAGGCTGCTCCTCGCCCTGATGAAGTGGACTGCAAGGCCCACGAAACGTTGGCACATCAAGAATGGACCAAGACATGGAGAAAACCCGCGAAGCACAGATTAGTTATATAAAATAAGTATTTGTTGCATTCAAGATATTATCATTCTTGTTTTGTTCAAAGGTGGCACACTATTTGGCAAACATCTGGTGCGAGATTTAGAATTACAAAGACCATGCTCATGTCAACGACGACGCAAGCGTTGCTTCTGTTTCCGTCCAAATCATAACGAAAATTGGTTATTCTCACGATACTCTACCGGCTGGAAGTGTGGATTACATGCGGATTGGACCGAATTGACAAATTGTGTTGATACGGAACTTAATAAAATTGAAGGAGATGGAATTAAGCGCCGTTACTTTTACATAACTATCATAAGGGATCCCGTTGCAAGATATCTCTCTGAGTTTAGGCACGTGCAGAGAGGTGCTACATGGAGAGGTGCTCGTCATTGGTGCGGAGGTACTCAAGCAAATATACCTCAGTGTTACGATGGTCCCAATTGGAAAGGTGTTACCCTGGAAGAGGTAATATCTCCTGATTTTTTTATTTTATATTGGCTTTTATTGTTATAATATAAATTATAGTAGTTTATATATAAGCGTTTCATCTATATATACTTTAAGGTAAAAACTTTTGTTTTATCTTAAAATTTGAATTAAAAGCATTGTAAGAAATAAGCGATAATACAAGAAAAATATCAGAGATTTGAACCAAAGACTTGCTTTATATTGGTACATTTCTATCCTGCCTCCGAACCACACAGCCCAAACTCTAGGTTTGTTCGTGTCGCAGGCTCCAACATGCTCCTACTCATTTCAACGTGCTCTATGTTACACAGGTATCCCAAAAAGGTCGGAACACCTGAATATCTTGAAAAATATGATCTTTACAGAAAAGTGTTTCAGATAAAAGTTGTAGAATTCAAAAAGATCTTATTAGTTTTGACCTTGGGCGGTGTCGCTCAGGTTAAAATCACATCGATTTTTTTTAAATGAAACACTACTTTTGATTCCAGAATCTAATAGCTGGTGTTGAGAACTTTCCAAAACGCTATAAGGAAATATTTTTTTTTATTACTTTTTGAGTTATGATATTTGAAAGTTACAGCACTGATATTAGCATTATCGCAATGTGTCCAACCGATGAATAAAATCTCTTGAATGTTGTTCAGGATTATGTCCTGGATAATATTCGTCAAGATCAAAGCCATTGGAGATTATTATTTTTATTTTCATTTTTGCACTAAAAATTCATTTTTACGTAAAAATAAAAGAAATACTAGATATTCGCGTCGTGTTAGAGCATATTTTGAAGAGTATTAAGAGCACGCTCCACTCTCTTGCCTCTCCTCCGAAGTACAATTGGGATATATTACGCATGCGTAATAATTGAGAATGTGTATCGGAAAAAGTATTTCACGGCTATGACAGATCATGGATAGCTGCAAAAAATACAAGAAAATACATTTTCTGCCAATAAGTCATCATTAATTAATGATGTCAACCGGCAAGAAAATTCTACTCTGAGATCCATCTTGATCTAATGTACTAATAACCCCTTTATATATCGTTAAATCGATTAGTACATGTATCAAATTGATGCGAATTAAATATTATTTCCACCGATCTCAAAATGGATTAAATTAGATGACATGCACACAAAATGATTGTTCTAAATTCGTTCGTATCATTGAGCGTTGGGACATATGAATTTAATTGTTCCAATTGCCATTTTACCCAAGTGTTCTCTGGATTTCTTTGGAGTACGCGAACAAATCTTCTGATAACTTCTCTATTGTGTCTATTTCCTCTAAACTTCTTACAGTTCGATCAACCTGAAATTACATTCATCCTGAACGTGCAATTCTGATCGCAATATTGGACAAAGTCTATAAGTTCAATCAGTCTGACATATAACCTGGAATGTCCTCATGGCATTTTCTAGCCACATCCGGGTGACAAACTTCTGCAGTCTGCCAGAGTCATCGGGTGTCCCCATGGCATATATACCATCTATTAGGCGATTATCTTTGATTCGTGTTCTTGGTCGCATTTATCAGACTCAACTGTTGCGGAGCGGATCCGTGAGCGCTCGCTGCTGCTGGTGTATTCTTTTAGATCATTAAATAGTAGCGAGCGCTCCGCAATAATTGAGTCTGCTGAATGCGATCCTATTATTAAGGCATCTATTGGTTCTCTTGAGCTAATTTATAAATTCTGATTGTAAGTCCTATTTTCTAAAGATCCTGTACCCAGATAGCAAAATGGTAACAGTAGCCAATTTGATCATAATGTTATAGCAAATATCAAGCTGTTATTTCCTTATTAAGTTTAGTTTCTAACAATATAACATAGAACAACGGTAGAAATGCAATAAAATTCTTTGCTACAAATATCATGACAGCAAATACGTCAGATATCGGACAAAGTTTGCCACATCAAATATTAACAAAAAAATAGCAGAAATCAAGAATGATCTGATGTCACATTGTGACAGCGAAATCGCGGAAAAGCTACAACTTATATGTATCAAATAGTAAACATAAACATAATGTAACAATAAAAACTGAGCACGGCCTGCCGTACAAAAACGCGGCAGATTGTAACGATGCTTCGAGAATACGCATCCGAATCATTACTATCCGAATGCCGCTGTAATGGTCTTTGGTCACATAAGGGCGCGGTGCGCCCGCAATCGTATTAACAAGTATAGCAGTGCCATTCCGTGTCAGAGATTATCGAAATCGTCCTATTACCGCCGGCCGACATCCCCTACTCGTATTGCGAATCGGCTGAAATCGTCGAACGACTCTGGAACAATACAAGCAGAAGCAACAATTTGAATTAAATGATAAATCGCTAACAACAATGTCTATTCCTTTCCGTTCTTGATCATGTTTCAATATTCTCCGATTCTGACCAGCTGCTCTAGTAGCGAAAAAAGATGGTAGAGAGATTACTCTGTCATTATCGAGCGTTCTCGATAGTAACCCACCGGCTTTCCTGCCTAAAAACCACTGAATCGCCGAGAAAACTCTAGAGTAGAGAGTACTCTATCCTGTCGAATGTTCTTGGCTATCGACCAGCTGCAATCCTTGCACTGCTGCACGGGATTTCTCCGGAGTCAGAGCGTACTCTGTCCCGCCGAGCTTTCTCGGCCGCTAGCTATTTACCACCTACCGCTTCTGCCGCACCAGCAATAGCCAGGGGATATTATCTCTGTCGAGTTTTCTCGATCGTTGATTGCTGCAAGTGCACTTTTAATCGGTTTCGACAATAGCACGAGATTTCTCTGCTTCTTCGACTGAGTGTTCTCAGTCGTCAAGTATTGTCTCACTGAATTGCGTTGATCCCATTGCAGTCGGGAAGTCGCTTAGAAATTCATCGCGTCGCAATCGCGTTCATGTTGACGTATACACGCGTTCCGCGCGCGCCCCACGCTGCATATCGGCAAAAATTAGTCTGTGAGTCCGGTTAAATAACGACTCACGCACGCACGCACGCACACAAGGACTCACTTTAATCAAGCATCTCGAAGAGATGGATATCCGACCGTGCCACCTCCACGCGGTATACCTTAGATAACGCGCCGGCGATACTTAAACTTTGAAGGAAAATACAAATTTGAAAAGTAGAGATTTTAAGTTACAAAATGCTTTTAAAATCTCATTTTGGCCATTTTTGTAGAAGTTATACTCATTCAAAGTTTATCAATTTTTCGAAAGCGTGAGAGGTGATGCTTTAATTTCCGCGGGTAGTGTATATGTATATGTTTATAATATTGGATTTATAAAATAATAGCGCCAATTTCCATTAGTCCATTGTCTTCGTTTATTTATTTGCATTTGCGATTTATAATAATTATGTCGTCCAAATAAACGAAAATGTGCGGCTCTAACTCGGAATCCAGGACGGTATTTATAATAGTAAACGCTGGAATGTGGCCGGTGCTGAATGTAGTTCGGCATAACTGATACTTTTTTATCCTGTATAATAATAACTGATGCAATAACTGATTTGCTATCCAGTGTTAATAGCCAGTAGCCATTCTTGGGATCCAGCATCGTAAGATATCGTACTCTGCGCAATTTATCTAATGTCGCGGTTATTTGCGGAAGCAGACAGGCGTCTGGTTCGGTCACCTCGTTCTCACAGCGGAAATCAATACAAAATCTATTTTTCTTCTTCGACGACTACCGACTCCACGAGTCGGTTCTATGACCGTCCTGCACTTTGTTCGACTTCGGCGTCGATTATGGCGTGGTTTCGAGGGCGGCATTTTTGTTTAATCGGGCAGATCCGCGATTTGATGCGTATTTGGTGTTGCGCGGGTGAAGCCTTGTACGATATCAAACTTCGACAGTTTTACGTCGAGAAATTTTTGTAGCTGCCGGTCTTCGCTTTTGGTTCTCCGGGTGTGTTCCTCCGTTGAGGCGGCAGTAACTGACCGGATAGCTAACAGTCCGTGGAATGGCAGATCGCGAAGCTTAATTTCATCCATAAATCGACGCCGATTAATGCCGCGCTCTTGAGTATCGGCATTATACAAAACGTGTGCCAAATGTGCTGGTTGCCAATCATGATAGGTATATGCCGAGCAGCATGATCGTTCGGCGAGTTGAATTTCCTCTGCTTCCCTCTCTATACTGAAATGCAATTCCTTTAAGTTGCGCACGGTATTGTTGTTAATAAATGATATTTCCGAATCGGTATCTACTAATGCTTCTAGCTTTATATTTTCGACGTACATGTCGACCTGCAATCGGGGCGAATTTTACGCTGATAACTGGAACAGGGCCTCCTCCTGGTCGGTGGCTTGTTTCCCGGCGGCGACAGTTCTTTGTTAGTACCTCATCCTTGCCGCACGAGCAGAATTTTTTCAGACGGCGCCTACATACAAATCGAGTGTGCCTTCTCTGCTTGCAGCGCCAGCAACACTCATCGCAGTCATACACTGCGGCTGCAACGGGGGTTTTATGAGCGGATTCTTTCGATTTTTTCTGCGCCTTTTCGAGAACTGTAAGGTGTTCGCAGGTTGCGGCTTCACGGCTTAAATCTTGTATTGATCGCATATCGGTATGTCGGATACGCCACTGATAGAAGTATAATACATATTCCTGTGACGAGTCCGGTTAAATAACGATTCACGCACGCACACAAGGACTCACTTTAATCAAGCATCTCGAAAAGATGGATATCCGACCGTGCCACCTCCACGCGGTACACCTTAGATAACGCGCCGGCGATACTTAAACTTTGAAGGAAAGTACAAATTTGAAAAAAAAAGTAAAGATATTCCAATTGTGTCTGTTCTGTCGTTATTCCGGCGCGGGCTTATTAATGCTGTGGGATAAAAAAAAGTTCCCTCGACTTCTGTTTGCACGCACGCGTAAACGTCTTCTAATAACTAGAATTCATCTGCATGTAAAAACGCGGCTTTAAAACTAGTGACAAAGCTTCTCCATACGTTCTAGCTTTTCCATCGCTTACGATTTCCTTGGCTTCACATTTGTGTGTATCTTTAG